AACACTGTAAACTGACTATACTTCAATTTTCAAAATTAAAGGTAAAGAAATTCTTTTTTAAATCTGCGGGGTTTTTTTAAAGAAACAATGAGGAAATTTTAAGATAGTCTTAGATTTAGGTTAACAAATGGGTAGTTTGTCAGATTATAAGAAATAACACATTCCCATTCCAACAAGCAGAAACCCAAAGTGAGTCACAGATGACATGGAGATTGCGGCAAATGTACATCGTTGATTTTTTTTTCACTGTATACCCTGACAGTATTTCCTAACTTAGTTCACATACCTCTCCCCACTCTCTCTATCCCGGTTTCCATCTGTAAGTAAACAGGTAAATCAAATAGGCAGGTGGAGGTGCAGAAGGAGGAAAAAACATTTTCAGGACTCTCAGTTCCACTTAGGTCTAATAGTGAGGGAACGCGGATGAAGGCTCACGGCATGCAGCTTACTGGAAGATCCCACTGGGTCTTGTAAGGCATGCTGACCCTTACAATACAGTTGGATTCGAAGACCAGTCATTTGCCTCTCAACTTCTAACCTGTCGCAAAGCACGGTCCCTCAGCATCCTTGTTTTTAAATCAGTAGAGTAGGGACGTGCCTCCTACAGGGTTTTTGGGGCTTGAGACACTATGCAGGTGTTCCATGAACTACGAAATTCAAAATAAAATATCCAGCTGTGCCCTGACACTAATTCTGGTAGATTCTGCTTGTGGAATAATAGAGTAAGAATCTGGTGTTAGAGCAGGGGGGCAGAAAATAACACTTTGATAGATAAGCTCCTGTTCTTCATACACATTATACCCAGCGTGGGCCCCACGTTCCCCAGTATCTTCAGGTGGGTGAAACACATGTTAGCAGTGACAGAGCCAGGGATTATTCAAAGGCAGAAGCAAAGGCCAGAACTGGGTCTTTGTGCATATTTAGAATTGTCCAGCTGGCTTGTTCCATCACAGCACAATAGTTACAGAATTACGTCCATCCCACGTCTCATCCCGTGGGAAATGAAGCTTTAGGCTTCAAGATATTTTTATATCCTTTGCTTTATTGGATCCTCTCAACAGCTCTAAATTACACCAAGGACAAAAAAAAAAAACACAACAAAACTTAAGGTAAGGCCAGTGTAGAATCTTGGGCCAAATATAGTGTGAGATCAGGATTCTGGAGACTGAGTACTTAACACGCTGCCTACGACGAACCGCGAAAAAGCATCCCGGAGGCAACGGCTCATGCGTCCCAGTGAACGGTGACTCCTGAGCAACACGGGTCAGGACTTCCAAGAACCTTCCCAGAAGGCTGCACTCCAAGAACGCTCCATGGCGCAGTGTGGCCTCTCCTCACTGCATCACCACCACCATTTGTCTTCAAAGTCATTAAAATCCCACTTACACTTGATTCTCAGAGAGGACCCCTTCTCCTGTAACTTCTCCAACTCCGCTTTCACTATGGAGTACAAGTCTTCTTCGAGCCTGCAAAAGACAGGAGAGGAGACAAGGACAGACTGAGATGGTAAAATGAAACAGGTGTCCCGTAGAAAAGTAACTTGCTAACCCTCACGTGGGTACACCTCCACCTCCAGCCCCACCCAGAGAGACTGGGAGGGATACGCGAAGCCACAAGAACCCCTTTGCATGGAAGAAAAAAGAAATCTCTGGGAGAGATGATAAGACAGACGTAGCACAGGGCAACTCCGGTCACTGCTGTCACTGTGTATAAATCTGATTCCTCTCTCTTGTACCATTAATGTATGTTTACAGACTTTTGACAAATAAAGTCCTGGCATTTTCTTCTTTCGGAAGAGGTTGGCGTCTGGGTACCCAGTCAGAGGCCCCTCTACAACCTGAATGACACACCCAGTTGGCAAGGGGAGAAGCACCATCTACGGTGCTCACCATCCCACAGCTCTCAAAAATGCACAACTTAGAATGTGAAGGCAGCAATCTAACAATGTGCAGGTAATATAAAATCCTGAATGTATAGATGTTAACCAACTTCCCAAAGTAGACAAGCTTCCTTGGTATCCAAGACGGTATCTGCTAAAACGTACCTAGCTGAATGTCTGTCTCCACGAAAAAAAAAAAAAAAAACCACTGCTTAACTTTCTGACCTCATCTCCAGAATGCTGAACAAGGTGCAGTCTATCCCAATTAAATGCTCTTCCTTCAGTGCCTCCAGCGGATGAGAAAAAGCTTGGTCCAACCCTCTGGCCTTTGCACATGCTATTCCAACTTCCTTACAACACGCCACCCCTCATCTCTTCACTGCCCATGTTCCCCGTCCTGATCATGGATTCTGCCCTTCCAGCCTCGCTGGGTCTCGAGATCGGCGACACCCCCGCAGACAGGCCTTCCCTTGCCACCTGATCACCTTTGCTTTCTACACCACAGCTCAGAGCTCCCTTCATAGCATTCATGGCAGCTAACACTGCTTTTCTAGGTCTCGGATTTGCCATCGTCCTGAGAGGAGCAGACTCGTGAGGACGAGGCTCATGACCTTTCGCTTCCCACTGTCTTCCGTGCCACGGCGCTCGGCCCACAGTCAGCGCTAACATAGGAAGCTGCTGAGTAAGTGTCCGTCAGTGAAGCACAGAGTGAGTACCAGAAAGAGAAAACTGAGGGCACCCCAGAATACCCAAATGTCTGTAGGGCTGTGCCATCCAGCGTGGTGGCCACTAGCCAGCGCGGCTATTTAAGTTAATTCAAACTACAGGAAGTCAAAGATTCCGTTCCTCGGTCACACTGGCCACACTTCCAGTGCCCAGTCACCGCACGCGGTGAGCGGCTAGCTGGTGGACGGTGCAGGTACAGCCCATCTCCTCCGTCACTGGAAGCTCTGGTGGCCAGCACCAGCCAAGGAAATTCAGTGCAGGATAACCTCGGTGTCCACTTTGAAACATTCTCCACTCCGCCCACATCTCAGCAGGTGCCTCCCCGTGTACAAGGCAGTGGGGATTACCCGAGTTTCCGCAGTGTGCACGCTGGGTTTTCCAAGGACTTCCACAGCGTGCTGACTCCCTCAGGCCCCAGGTCATTTCCTAACAGGTTCAGATTAACCAGGCTTTTGCTGCTTCTGAGAACAGAGGAGAGATGCTGGCAGCAACCAGGCGTCAAGTTACATTTCTCCAACCTAGAAGTGGGTGAGACGGAAGCGTGAAAGGTGGCCCTCCAGGATTAAGAAGCTAGAGATAAAAACAGCTCAAGACTCAGGGGGAAACATGCTGCTGAAACAGACTGGTTAACAGCATGTGACACACACCAGACACTTTTCCAAATTCTTATACATAACTCATTTAATCCATTAAAGTTAGATCACATCTTAAACCCCACGTGACAGATGAGGAAAGACTAGAAGAGACTGAGTACCCCTTCATTACGCTTCTTCCATCTCATTCCCAAAGTCAACAATTCAAAATCAGAAAATACGATTGGCTGGATACTAGGAAGGCCAAGAAAAAGAAGTGACAAGGTGCATTGCATACTGCAAAAATGGATAAACAGGGTCCCTCTG